TTCTCATTCATTTCATTCAACAATTGAAGTCAAATTCTCATTCTATCAAATGCACTCTATAATTGATCATTTGACTATTGAACGTTGTTGAGCAATAATATTACGTTAACGTATTGTTGATTTCGACTGTCAACACTCGTCAATTCATCCAGTAAACAGTATATGCTACAGAATAAGAAATTGATTCGAACTGTGAAGTGAAATGAGACGAAGTGAATGAGAAAATCTCATCAAGAGAACGATATTCGCATGTGATAGCTATGAGAGTGAATACAATACGTCTGAAAAGAATGAGAATCCATCTGAAGTGAACATGTCATAGATAATAGCTTTCCATGCAATCATATTCGATTGCAATAATGAGCAAAGCAACGGTCTAGGACAGTGGTTCTCATAGGAAGTTAATTTACCCGTTTTGGGTAATTTGGGGATAGCGGCGGCCTGCTAGATCATAAAAAGGGGTAATGGAGCACCCGAACGTGAGAACCACTGGGCTAAACGAAAAGCGCCACAGTCAACTGAGCCCTATGAGAGGATTTTGATTGATTACTTCGTAAATTCTTTCGTTTTTGATTGTATATGAAAATGATGGTGTAGCCACTCCTGAAATGACGAATAGAATTTTGACGGTGATGACGACTGCAGATGATGGCCGTCATGGAATTGTGGCGGACAGTGTAATCACAGAATCAGCACCTTCGGTGAGCAGACGAACCGAGGATACGCTTACCACATCGGTTGGAACGAAATCTACGCATCATGAAAAGAACGTACAAAAAGCAGCCGCTGTGACTGAGGAAAATAACAGCAAAAGCTTAACTGACGGTTGGTTTTGATTATTCCTTGAGGCCATCATCAGTCATTTGTGAAGGGGACACGCTGGGCTCAGCGTTCGATAATATTCAACAGTTTGTTCGGTTCTAACGACAGCCAATCTGTAATGTTTATTTTTCATAATAGTCCTACTATTAGTTTGGAATTTTGCGATATTCTAGAGCACGTATCCGCAGATGGTGACAGTCATGACAGCAAGAAATCCGAGGATCCAAACGCACTGAATACGGATCGTGAGATGGTTCTAGATGAAGAAATGGCAGCGGGCACGGGTAAAGATGACGAAGAGGATTCGTCCGAAACTTTGATTCCAGCCGATCATCCGGCAAAAACTCTACCACCAATTGATCTACTTCTCCTCGTTGACTCCTCCGGTAGCATTGGAATCAGCAACTTCGAAAAGGTGATCCTTTCAACTGTATGTGTATGCGAGAGAAGAAGCTCGAACGGTGATTTTCAATAAACCTGAAAATCCATAGCAAAATATAGTCCAACCCTTCCCATTTTGCTAGGCGGATATGATTTTTCAAAACCGAACAAGCTCCAACATTTTTTTCGAGCAAGTTCAATGATCTATTGAATTCGTCAGCTTCAAATTTCTTCGTAATATTCGGTTACACATCAACCTCATCAAAACCATGATTAAAGGATTACTCAGCACACGCATATTGTGTTTGTGCCATCATGAACACTGGTGATGCCATTTTTGAAATATATCTCGAGCACGAATGTGTCACGCTAAAAACCACTTGAGGCTTTCATGTGAACACAGCAACGCAAAACATCAATCAAAAGCAAACATTTCATCTGGATGAAATCGCTTGCGATCTCCACCACGAAATAAAAAACTCACCTAAAAGCGTATTGATGAATT